GATTATACAATAATACTGTTCCAGCTTATATACAAATTTGAAATAAGGACAGACCTTGGGAACAGAACTCGTTCTTAAACTGGAGACTATCTGTATTTATTATTTCAGTATCTCACTATTGAACCATGAGACAGGTTGTACTTCAGTGACTTAGTTCAAGATTCACATGCAAAAGAACCCAGATGTAGCCTTGACATTTGTCCTTAGATCTAAAAAAGACTTCTGTCTTTTTTGGATCTGAAACTAGGGTCACTGCTAATTCAGTGTGGACAATACATAGAAGAATATTCTGGACTTGGTATGAAGTTACAGTTTTGATCACATGTATTAGAAAGTAAGTCCAACTAACTGGGATGATGTCTTAAACCAGTTTCACTTGTTCTTGTATTTCTGCACATTTCTGCTGATTCCAGGCATTCTTCTGGCAAGCAGTTGTGGACAGGATACTGGTGACAAAGGATCCTGGTGACCTTTCTGATAATTGACTATGGACCTTTATTAACACCATTCTCCAACTGTTCATAGGAATTGCACATTTTCTTCAGTAATTATGGTGACATGGGTGATAATGGAAAGTGTTACAGGAGAAGTTTCAGAGTTTGTCTATTCTGTACATTTCTTTCAAGTTGGCATGGATTCCCTTCTGCCATTTAGAAGCAATTGAATAGAGTGGAGGTATGCTGTAATGAACACGCTTTAAGTTCTTTGTTGGATTTTGGCCAGTTTCATTGGATGTTCTCTCATTTATTGATTTCCCTCCCCTCCTTCCTTATTGCAGCTCCTGAAGTGCTTGCCCAGAAACCCTACAGCAAAGCAGTGGACTGTTGGTCCATTGGAGTTATTGCATATATTCTGTAAGTACTATCAAATGAGTTCGTATTACTGATTTCATAATCAATCTTGAAGATTATTCAGGGCTTTGAATGGTACATTGGGGTTGATGATTGGGAATAGGAAGGCATCTTTCTATCAGTCAGATCAAACAAGGCCGTATCAATCAACAGTCATAATTTCCTGGGACCACCACATTTTTCAAAGCATTAAACCTTGCTATGGAAAACCCAAGTCTCAAACAATATATTTACTTTGAATAGCTATAATATAATTTTGTTCAGAATCTGGACAAGCTCACTGTTGTTGGACATGTGATGTTTTGCATGCAGTTCAGGGCAAAGCCCAGCCAATAATGATAAAACCAGCAAATCTCGTCTTCCATTTGCAATTTAGGGCTAACTGTTCCCTCCATATCCAGGACCATGGCAGTTTACTATTCAGTTAATATGATCATATGTTAGATGTATATCCCATCTTTCCTCCAGGAGCTTAAGCAGTGTCTCCTCCAATTTTTTTTTTGCCTCACAATAAATGTCCTGTGGGGTGTGTTGGACTCAGAGACAAAGACTGGCCCAAAGGTCACCCAGTGAGCTTCCAAGACTAAGAATGGACATGAATTTGGGCCTTCCCAGTCCGAGTCCAACATCTTCACTGTAACACTACTAGCTAGGAGCAAAGCAGAAAATTTCTGATTCTTTGGTCAGCTATCAATGCATGCAAGATGAAGCATGCAATGTTTTCATTTTTTTTTTCCTAATGCTATTTCCTTTTATGTTAGCTTATAGAAGAGAGGCATACGCAGTTGAGGTGCACATCAGTAGGCTGTGCAGTTGATATCGTTCCTTAACTCTTGGAGGTCCCCTATTTATTTTAAATTTGGCCCTTCAAAATTGGAAGGTGGCTTTTGAAAACATTTACAGGAATAGGCTGTGAAAGATTCCTTCTCTTTGTTGTAAACCTGAAGAAACCCTTATAGGAATGCCTTTTCTTGGACATTTTATTGGGTTGGGGTAGGCCACCCAGAGTCACCCTAAATTTGATTAATAAATAAATGTGATTAATTAATAAATAAATAAAGAAAGAAAGAAAGAAAGAAAGAAAGAAAGAAAGAAAGAAAGAAAGAAAGAAAGAAAGAAAGATGATTACTTTAGAGCTTGGGAGATAAAATTTATGCCTGTGCTTGTACAGAAATGTTATACATGTGCTATACAGGGCACATTGAAATAACTATATCCCTATTTCTGATTGAGAAATATTGGCTAGTATACAGTCAAACATGGGCCTAGTAGAGATATGATACCATTTTCCCTTCCTCCTCCTCCTCTCCTTCTCCTTTCTCCTTCTCCTTCTCCTTCTCCTTCTCCTTCTCCTTCTCTTCTCCTTCTCCTTAACTTAGCCAGTCAGTAATCATCTGGGGATCTCCCAGATCATGTCAGTGAGTGGCACCAGTGAGCTGGTACTATTTACCAGCTGTAAAGGATCATATATGCTTTTAAAAATTAAAGTGAGAATTTTTTTTAGATTTTTTTTTATCCTGCCTTTCTTATTTTTATAAATACCTCAAGGTGGTGAACATACCTAATACTCCTTCCTCCTCTTTTTCTCCACAACAACAACCCTATGAGGTGAGTTGGGCTGAGGGAGAGTGACTGGCCCAAAGTCACCCAGCCGGCTTTCATGCCGAAGGTGGGACTAGAACTCACCGTCTCCTGCTTTCTTGCCTGGCGCCTTCACCACTAAACCAAACTGGCTCTTATTGATTGACTGGCTGAGTAACGAAGAAATGATACATTGTCTTTAGGCCATCCTTCCTTGCACATCTCAAGCCATCAGGGAAGGTTCTAACTGCCTAGGTTCTACTGTAGCTTTTCAGTTCCTGAAAATAGCCTTGTCCACCCTTATGTCCTCTAGATGAGCCATGGGAATTCTTGAAGGCAGCAAGCTGGGAAGGCTGGTCTAGAACCTTTGATGATACAATGGCCCAGAAATCTGTGTATTTGATTCTTTCCCAGGCATTTGTATAGCTTCTTCAGATGGGCTGCAGTTTCTTTCAGTCTAGTTACCAAAAAAGTCAGGGACCCATGCCCTTTGTTAATGGAGGTAAATAGCAGCTGACGGGGAGCGGTATCTACTGAAAGACAATGGAAGAGAAGGGGGTTCACAGCGTCTCCAACAGTCTGGCCATTCCAGTTCAATTTGGACTACTTAAAATAAGACGTCTGCCCTTGGATCATGCTTGGGTAGTTGCTTCGAAGAGAAAGTTGTTCTTTTCCCAGACACGAATCACACAGAGCCTTCTTGACAAGATTTATTGCAACGATCAGTCTTCCCTTACCATCACCTTTCAGAAAGGGGTACTTTTTTTTGTTTTGACAAACTACCAGCCAGGCTAAGGGGAGAGATACATCTGTAGATCAATCTACAGATCAGGAGCTAGGACGAAAACGCTAGGAATAATTTTTTTTTTCTGAAGGGATGGGTTTAAGTGACTTTTGATCACACAGCCAGCATGAGCGCATATCCTTCGGAAAGTGGCTGGTGGGTGGGTGAAAAGGCCAGCGGGTATTGTCCAGCAGGCGCAGCATGACAGCTGAAGCCCCACCCCTTTTGTACACGCATCTCACCAGTGCAAAAGGGGCAGGGCTTCAGTCATGATGTTGGGAACGTCATCCTGCCTGTTTTGAGCCCGGCAGACCTTGCTAGCTAGCATAGAGGCAATGAGACCAAAAAACGTGGTTTAGCATGCCCAATATAGCCATTGGCATAGTTCCAGAAATATAGGGTAGAAGTACTCTGAATGTTAGAATAGATTAGAAATGGTAAAGCAGCAGGAAATATTTTGTTTTATTTTATTATTTGGTTAAATCATGTATAGATTTCTTGAGCAGCCTCTCTGGAAAGAAAATTTATTTATTTATTTATTTAACTTGTCCCCGCCCATCTCCCCACAATGGGGGACTCT